TATATTTTTAGAAATTGAAAGAGATCTGGTTTCCTTTCTGTTTGTGTTTTTACATGTGATGTCCACATTTTGCTCGTTTATTCCATTAGCTCTGGTCAAGGTATTCCCTCATTCTACGCCCACGCTGCCCACAGTGTATGAGTGAGTTTCCCCATTCTCAGACTTTCTGAGGAATAAGCTCAGGGCTTGTAATTTCACACACAACGGTCTCCACCACAGGAGATGCTTGCTAACAGCGGGTTGAGGATCACTGGACACTTACTAAAGGTGGACAGTAGGGGGCAGAGGTGTCCACGTTTCTCTGATTTGGGGAGCTCGGCTTCTGCTTGGAGTCCTGGAAACCATTTGACTTCAGACATTTGCTAACATTCACAACTTTCAGATGAAGGCTTCTTGTCTGTTCTTTTACTTTCCAGCCTCCAAACAAGTAGCTTTTTTATCATTGTAAAAGACGAGTTTATTGAACAAAATTTGGGAAATACCAAAGGTATAACAACAGAAAACGAGACCAAGCCAACCACTCAAATTCCCATTGTCAAGGAACAAATACCTGATAATATTTTGTCTTATTTGCCTGTATAGTTTTTTGGGTGCATATGCATATATACAAAATACTATAATGCATGTATACGATAAATATATCATATAAAAGTATACGGTATATATCATATTCACTCACACATGTACAGTTTTTAAAAATGCAGATCACTCTGTAATATTCAGTTATAATTTCTGTTTCTTTTGCTGAATTTTGGTAGTGAACAGGTAAAATTCATTACAAAATACCAGGCTGAAGCACTTTGCGAAACGGATTAAGTGTTGTATGACCGGGGGCTGTGTGACGGAAATAGAAGGGTCTTTCCTCTTCAGCATATCTGGGTCACAGAGACCCAGGCGTGAGCTCATTACAAACCCACATTCTACTGTATTGTTGCAGAGTCTTAACTAGTTCCGGAATGTCAAAGTCTCGGCATATCTCAGAGTCTCTAAGCTCTCACTTTATATGCATGTGAGTGGTTTATATTTTGTGCCTTAGGGATTTCCATTTTGAGATTATTCTAGCCTTTTCCCTAAATGTGTCCCACGGTATTACTTAGAATAGTTTTCAACCATTTTGGTTCTCTGTCCTGTTACTTGGAAAACTTGACTAATACAATCATTCAGGCCGTCAAGAACTAACAGAAATTAAATCAGTTCAGTTTACTCTTTCTCTGAAAAAAAAAATGTGTGAGGAGCTATGATAATCTAGTTCATGGAAAAATGGTAAACAGTACAAACTATCAACTCTCTGGCCTGTGTGTGAAATGCCACTCTCAGAAAATGATGGCTAGGAAGTGATGATTTTCTCTGTAACTTTTATGTCCGCTAAAAAAATAAATAAAGATTTGCTTCTCACTCAGTAAATGTTACTGGAAACCTGATATTCATGTGCACAACATAGATAATATTAAAAAATAAATTCCACCTAATGTGAAAAGCAACACTGAAAAAAAGTAGAGGAAAATACAGAAAAGTCTCCTTCTGTCCATATGGAAGAAGAATTATTCACAGCAAATCCTGAATCATGAAGGCAATCCGTCGATCGATAAAATACATACTATGTTAAATATTTGACCAAATGTTCCATAGTAAAGATAATGATCCACAGATAGGAAGAATAAATACATTGATAGTGTGTATACCCCCATAAAAATCAGTAATCAAACTATTTAAAGTTGTCTAACAAATCCCCAAGGAGGAGACCCAAAAAGGGGAACAAAAAGTGTAGGAAAAAGGAAGAAATTCACTGAAGATGTATTTTTCATGGTCAATGGAGAGATACCATAGTGTTAAAAGTGGGGATGGGAGGGGAAATAAATTGACTGTCCGTTAGCAGGTAAGCATAGTTTTGTGTCGTTACAAGCTAGAATATATTACTTGGATTTTTGTATTCTTAAAATTGTTTCTTGAAATAGTCTTGGTTTCTCTTTCCAACAATTCACCCAGAGACACGAACAGGATCCAGCGCTATGTTGTAAGTTAAAATTTACGTGTAACGGGAGAATTGCATTGAGTATGATTTTGTTCACATATTCTCAAGGCAATGTGCTTTTTAAAAACACAAGAAATGAGCGAAAATGAGCTAAATTTATATAAATGAAAATGGCTACTCTTGCTAAAGAGACTAATGTACCTGAAATCTTAGGTGTCTTCGGCTGAGACCAGAGCAATTGAAATGGAAACAGAGCTGCTTTCTATTTGTAAATTTGTGTTGGAGTAAAAGATAATCTCAGAATAGTGGAGAGTTCATGGAGTACTAAGATGTGATGAGAGGTAATTCCTAGAACAAAAAATATGAGCTAGAACAAATGGGCCAAATGATATTATCTTGGTTTGGGAGGCTAGGAAGGTGGTCAGTTTAAGGTCTATAAGGAATTGTCATGCAGGGAAGATTACAGAGTACAGAAAAAAAATAAAGAAAAACATCCAGCCACCTGATGATAGCACCATCTTCCAAAAATAAGGCTCTGATCTTATTTCCACTGAATAACTTTTGATAGCTCCCAATTTCCTATAGTTTTGGTTTCATACTCTTTCAGTAGTAAGTTTGGTAGCATTGAAAAACCATCAGTGTCATTCCAAAAATCTTTGCAAAGACTTTTCCTGAGAACTTGTCCCTCGCCTCATCTCAGGACACTTTGCACATTACTCCAGGTGTCCACTGAGTAGATTGGGCAAAGATGTCATCAACGGCTCTAAAATTTAGTTTAAATTTAAAATAAGTCCTTGCAATGAACTCATCGGTAAATCCTTTAACGCCTTACGATTCAGAGAGAAGATTTGGATCCTTGATCCCTCAGATGACTCAGTGTTATACAAAGCCTAAAACCTCAGGGTGGGGCCGGGGAGGCAACCCACATCAGTGACAATATGGAATTACCTAATCTTTTAATTATTGGTTATGAAATGAATCAGCCACGAAAACAGCAAGTCTTTTAGGACTTTATGATGCCATTGTGTCTGTGAGTTCTCACCATCGGCTTCGCAGAACTTCTGTGGTGTTAGTGAAATTGTTGAGATTGCTGGCCAAGATTATTTTGTAAAGTTTATTTATTCATTTGTTAAAATAACTCTGGCCACATGGAAAGGATTATTTGGTGCCACTTAGGGATGGGTTGTGGTCCCATTTAAATGCTTTAGTATTGTATACAAGTAACATTAAGACGGGGCATCTTATCGATCTCATCACCTACAAAATGATATCGAGTGACGTACGACCCTGATAATTTACCAAATTTGGAAGTAAAATCTATTAAACCTGTTTGAAAACATGTGCATGTATTAAGCGAAGTGTGAGATAGTTAATTTCCCCACTACCTAGCTGGAAATTTCTTTTTCATTGTCCTTATTTACTTTTTATTACGGAAAAACTCTTTAATCTTCGATATTAGGCCCCCAGTTTTACATAGTACCTAACAGGAAATTAGTAAATAAACACCGATGACAGCAGTACCTGTACCTCTCCCCCTCAACCTCCTCCATCTGGGGAGTGGCCGGCCTCTGTTATGTCACAAAGACTAAGCTCAAGTCTGATTCATTTTCAGTACTTGGATGAAGTATCCAGACAGTACTTGGATGGGAGGCCAGCAGTCTCTTGAGTCCAGCTGATTATTTCGTTTCCTTATCTTCATCAGTATGGAAACAGAAGATGAGCCAGGGGAAGTCAGGAGGATAGACCCTGACTGTACATAGTCAAAGAAGCTGGCAGCCCATAGGCAGAGGATGGGCAGAGGGCGCAGCTAGAATTGCTAAACAGCCAGTGAGCGGGAGGTGGGCATTTGCAGAAGAATTAAACCAGACAGTTGTGATGCTTAACTGAGCACTAGTCATGCCCAAGTTCTGCTCACGGAACACCTTAACTCCCATAAATAGCCTCCCACCCTCGTGACGAATGAGGACCTGCTGTGATTGACTTCCCATCTGTCTTATCAGCTTCTACACATTCCGCTACCGGGTCTGGGTACGAAGGTTTCAGTACTGACCTAAACTTTGGCTGTTTATCCTCCAGACAGCCTTCTCAATAAACTGGTGGTTCAAAGCCTGTGTGGTAATGGGGGGTTCTGGAAGGTGTCTGGGGGTAGTGGGCAACACAGAGCAGGGGCAGCTCACCAATACTATTGAATATGAGGCCTGAACAGACAATTTTCACTGGAACACCCAGAGCATTGTGCCACATTCTCAATCCTAAAATAAAGCCAGTGTTAGCCTCATATATGACGTTATAGTCATTTTTCTCCAAAGTGGTTTTAGGTTCACAGCAAAACTGAGGGAAAGGTACAGAGATTTGCCATATGCCCCCCCGACATGTATCCACAGCCTCCCCAGTATCCACATCCCCACCAAGAGTGATACATTCGTTACAAGTGACTGAGGAGCCCACACTGACGCATCATCATCACCCAAGGTTCCTAGCTGACATCAGGGGTCAGTCTTGGTGTTGTATATTCTGTGGGTTTGGACAAATTCATCATGACATATATCCACCATTATAGTATCATACAGGGTATTTTCACTATCCTAAAAATCCCCTGTGCTCTATCTGTTCATCTCTCCTTCTCTCTAGTTCCCGGTGACCACTAACATTTTTACTGTACATAGTTTTGCCTTTTCTAGAAAGTTACTCAGTTGGAATCATACACTGTGTAAGCTTTTCAGATTATATATTTCACTTAGTAATATGCGTTTACATTTTCTCCATGTCTATTCATGGCTTGACAGCTCATTTCTTTTTAGTGCTGAATAGTATTCCATTGTCTGGATGGATCGTGGTCTGTGTTTTCATTTACCTACTTAAAGACATCTTGGTTGCTTTCAGGTTTTGGCAATGGTGAATACACCTTCTGGAAACATCCGTGTGCGGGTTTTTGTGCAAACATCAAGTTTTCAGCTTCTTTCAGTAAATAAATACTAAGCAGCAACCACTACAGTTTTAAGAAAAGAATGACACGTGTCCTGGAAAATCAGAGAAAAAGAAGAAAATAAAAGGAAAACATAATCTGAGATGGAGCTCGTGGATTATGCAATCCATCGAATCATTGGAAAGGAAGCTGGAGCGGTGATCCGGAGGGCTTCTCACCCATGAAATGGGTGTTTTATGAGCAGGTTAGTCTTTCTCCATCTATTGAGTCAGAGTCTGGATTAGTCACACAATTCAGGTGACAGACTGGCCAAACACCGTCAGGGTTAATCAAAGGACATCAAACACCTTTGCATAACACCCCTATTTACTTTCCGTCTGCTGACTGCCCTTCCGCATTGTACTTCCAGCTAGAGCATCATGCTTGGCATGGAAATAGACACTGTATATGCCACACTATTATTTCATGTCAGGGGGCTGCTTACGGCAACAGAGAGGCTTCTAAGGTGTCACGCTTTCCAGCATAAAAGTCGCACGTTTCTCCTAAAGTCATTTAATATTTCAATCCTAGAATACTCCATGATGTCAAACACTCTGAATCCTTTTACTTTTTGTCGCAGAACTGAGTAAAAGAAAACATCAACTTGCATAAAAATCCCACAGAGGTCGCTTGAAATCGAGCAGTAGGTGATACCGCGTGGCAGTCCGTCACCGTGCTAAGTGTTTTCGTGATCCGGCAAACATCACCGTCATGTGAAACAAATGGTACTTTTTATCAAATGTCACTCAGCTCCAGGGCTTGTTATGCATCTGTTTTCCATTCTTGGACACCCACAATGGGGTCGCAGTCAAAAGATACCTGGAGTTGGAACTTACAGAGCCCGTCAGTTAGTCTTACTCTGGAAGTAAAGGGACAAAGCAAGCACCACCGCACCCAGCTCTAAGCTCCAGTCTCTCTCTCTCTCTCTCTCTCTCTCTCTCTCACACACACACACACACACACACACACACCAAAGAAGGAAAGAAAGAAAGAAAGAAAGAAAGAAAGAAAGAAAGGCAAGGAAGCCATGTCTCATTTAGGACAAAGATGCACCCTTCTCTGCGTTGCACATTTTTCAGAAAATTCTTTTAACATCTATTCATTTTTGAGAAACAGAGAGACACAGAGCACACGTGGGGGAAAGGCAGAGAGAGAGGGAGACACAGAATCTGGAACAGGCTGCAGACTTTAAGCTGTCAGCACAGAACCCGACGTGGGTTCAAACCCAAGGACGGTGAGGTGATGATGACCTGAGCCAAAGTCGGATGCTTAACCGACTGAGCCACCCAGGTGCCCCTTCTGTGTTGTGCATTTAAGTGAAGCCTAAAATTAGTGGACTTACAAGTCCCACGTTGCTCCTTCATTTTCAGAATTGGTGTATTTCCTGCATGAAGACGACCACAGCACACGTGTTTCGTGGTGGAGTCACGGTGTGGGGTCTCATGGCATCTTTGCACATAAACACACAAACAGGAAGGCAGGTAAGAGTCCTACCATTCAGCGAGAAGGATCACAGAGTGAATGATGGTGACAGCGAGTGGTATGGCCTGTCAGCGCAGATGGACTTCTCCCCAAATAGGCAGCTGCTCCCAGGCGACCGTGCTCCCTGGCACCTGCCAGCCCGTGAGTATCAACAGTCACGGACCAGGCTGTGCCTCTCCAGTCTGGTGGTGCACATGTGAAGGAAGCATGGACGCTAAGCTCCCTGACCCGGACGCTCGCACACTTTATCACACCGTCAGCATACTGTGTTGCAATGTCAACTTGCTTGTCGCCATCGCTAGACTGTACGCTTCCGGAAGGTTGACCTTGAGTCTGGCATCCAGTGGCCCTCCATACATATTCCTGGAATGAGTGAGTATGTGGACACAGCAGCATGAAATCAACTTAATTTTGTGGTTGTTTTAATGTGAAGGATGTAGATAACAACTGCTACCCTGTAAGCCATGACTAATATTAATAGGTACTTTCATTCCTAATTACACACTCGTGCTCCTGTTGATGTTTCTACAATAAATAAAGCCAGCTCCGCGGAACTCCCCATTCTCTGGAAACAATGGCAGGAGAACATGTGTGTATTCCCACTTCAAGCAAGAGACTTCCAGGGGTAAAAATATTTGTGCATGTTTGATGAACTCTGGAAAAGAAGTGTCTGTTGTTCAGGGCTCTGAACTGTAATTTGAAAGTTTAATGGAGACGAATTTTACTGCCATTACCTTGGGATCATATATATATTTCAACATTTTCATTCTGTTCCGTTTTGACACGTTCATTGTGTTTGGCAATACTGGGCAACTGTATGCATACACTGAATTTTGAGTCACAAAAGTAGGGTAAGTCACCTAAAACGCTTACTACATTTGCCTTCCAGGATAGATAAATCATAGTAATTTCTACCTTAGATTCTTTTCTTAGGCCTCCGATAATTATTTCTAATCTACTTCTTAATTTCTAGTATTATTTATTTTTACTTCTATATGGTTTCCTACAGTTATCAAATGTTTCAAAATTATCATTAGTTGTCATAAGCAAATTTTGGTCATTTGATAAAATCTGACATACTACTTAAAACCCTTCATTCAAAATAATTCAATTCGCTAGAAATACTCATAACTCAGTGGAGGATATTCTATTCATATTTATATGGCTTACATTACTAGGTGTGCAGTCAGGAAATGTCAATTATCATAGTTGTGGTGTGATTTCCCCCAAAAATACCAACGGGCAGGTGAAGGGAGGTGGGTTGCAGATCACTGAGCGATTACAAGGTTTTTCTTCTAATAAAGATTCAGCTCATGCCTGTGTTTTCAAAGTCTGGCAAAGAATTTCGCAGTTGTAATAGGTATCTGGTTTTGAATTTCTGTATCTGAAAGTATGTGGTATTTTCATATTAAACTTGTAAGGGATCCAAATGTGTAAGGTTCTTTATAAATGTAAAACGAGAGATGAGTGGTTCTGGGTTCTCCTGGGCCTGGTCTCTGGCTGACCAAGGGATTCGCTGACTGTGTCCTTCTCCGGGCTCCGAGGGGGGGCGGGAGGCTGGTTGCCGTTCACCCCCCACTGAGACCTGCTTCCGCCATCTGCTCACTCACAGCTTTGCCTCCAGAACAGCTGCCCGGGTCAGTTATTTTGACTAAGACGTATCAGAATTGGAAAGTTTGAAAAATGGACGGAAAATATTCATCCTACCAAGTCTTAGATGGTCATGATTGTACCACTTGAGAAACTCCAGGAAGATGATCTTTGATGGTATGGGATCCCATGACATGCCTGCACGATGATATTTGTGTGTTTGAACTCTGTTCCATTTTCAAGTGTCCTTCCTTTATCTCTGCTACACTGGATCTAAAACATGTCTGCAAATTCTTTGACCGTCACGAGGTAGAAGTTAATCCTTCCCCTTGAAGATGGTCTGGACTTAGAGATGAAAAGAATGAGGTAGAAGTGAGCTAGCCCCTAGAAAGCCATCGCATCTTTGCACCCAGACCCCCAGCCCCAATCTCTCTCTGTCTTCTGGGATGTTTGCTCTTAGAGACGTGCCACCATACCCTGAGGAAGTCCCCACCATTTGGAGAGGCTGAGAGTAATACTACGTGATTAATCCTGGCAGTGGAAAATAAGCAGGGTGGGTGTACTTCCTTCCCGAGGAAAACAAAGAATACCCCATGTTTCTCTTTTCCTACAACAAACGAGAGGTGCATCTGGGGTGTATTTACATGGCGCAGCTATCAGATGGTGGTGTGTTCATCCATCTGGGTTTCTGAATGAGTAACAAGCAAACACATATGCAAGTCCTTGACTCACTAATACTTAATTATTAGACTTTTAAAGGAAATCTATGGAAATGTATAAGAATGTATAAAAATAAAAAGTAAAGTTGAAATAAAAGTCGAGAGCCTTTCTTCCTGCTCTCTCTGAGACAACAACCCTGTATGTTTGCTGAAAAAATGCAGGGCACTTAAAGCCATTGAGGAAATTGATTTTTCTTCATGAGCCAATTTTTTCTTTTTATATTTTATTTTCATTTTTAAGTGTACAGAGAAGATGAATTACATGTTGGACAGGTTTTCCATCTTTTGGTACATCTAAGGCGAGGATATAAAAAAATGAAGAATTGGAATGTCTTTCCATGGCCACGAATGGAATTCATTAACATTTGAAATTCACTAATTCTATTGATCGGTTGCTGGAGGACTTGGTTGAAATTGCTCTACTTCTACCTCTGATGCGTAGGCAAGTGGGAAGCAACCAAAGCAGGAAGGAATGTGTGAGACTCTTTACATTTAGGGTATTTATGGTGGAGGGACGAATGGACAGGGCCAGTATTGCTTTATTCCAATTTCTTCTTTTTTCTTTGTTCTTCCCTTTTTTTTGGTCTTTGCTGAGAAACCGGTTCCTGGAACCCCCCCTGTTCATATGGAACATATGATTAGCAGGAGACTGTACATTTGCCCTCAACTGCATGCCTGCTAGGAGAATCCAAACGAGTTTTGGCGTTGCTTCCAATTTCTATGGGATTGACTTTTTAGCTCCATTAAGACTGATGACAAAGGAACTATTTTTGGTGCCTCTGTGAAAGAAACACGTTGGAGCCTGTTAGTTTTCAGCAATCCTGCTGTTCGAAGAGAAAAGTGCCAACAAAGCCTCTGTTATCAAACAGCACTAAATTCTCTTACCCCTGTGGGTTTGCTCTTTAGTCTACCCACTTGGCCAAAAGTGCGGCTCATCAAGGTGAACGAGCCCCGCTGGTTGTCTCTCCAAACAAAAGAACGAAGGGTGTATTGCTCTTCTTGTTACACTCAGATTATGTATCTTTAAAACATTTTTTTGTCTTCAGTGTTAAACAGGGGTGACACTTTAGTATCTCATCATGGGAGATCGTTTGGAAATCTATCTCCTCTATTCTCCATCTCTGTTCCCGCAAATACACACCCGTGTATATTCAAATTAAGGTTTGCCCAACTTCATAGAGCAAGTGGAGAAACCCCCTGATGACTCCAGACTTCTCACGCTCTCTCTGTGTACCCATAACTCAATAGCATGCATTTAATAACAGTGGGAAAACCTGTATCAGCTATTAATGAGGAATACGCGAGGAAGAGAATGCATGGGCGCAGAGACCCAGGAAGAAAAGCATGAAGTTGGTGAGAACTGTCACTGAGAGCAGAGTGGATGTATCTGAAATCTCTAGCACGATTCCAGGATGATGTGAGAAGCACAATGGAGATATAACTTGGAGAACACATCAGTTTGAGAACAGAAGTTGAGATAATGCCGGGTTTACAATTTGGATGATGAATAGAATGTACTGCCTCAAAAAGACTAATGGAAAGAGATTAGAAAGACATGGTACAGGCGAAGAAAACTGGGATCCGTTAGGCTAGGGAAGAGGACACTGGTGGTACAGAATAATAACTGTGCTCAAATGATCTGAGTGGTGTCGTGGAGAAGATAGTGGAGGTTTGTAGACTTTCTCTTTGTTTCTACAGGGGCAATGCTTTAAGAAGAATCATAAAAATTGAAATATATGGGCCAATAAACCTTTAAAAAAGGTTTTACTGAAGAAAAACAAGGAATTAGGAAGGCGTGGTAAGTGGTGGCAGTCAAACTGAAGGGAACGGTCAGTGAACGGTCTCGTGCAGGGTGGAAAGTGAGGTCCTTCCCTCACTCCTTGCTGTGCCTCCGTCCTGTGGCTCAGCTCCCACCTCCAGTATCTGACAATATCCTATTACTTCCATGCATTTTTGTGTTAAATGAACACTATGTGCTGCACACCAAGGAAGTACGTACTTTGGGGTTATTTTGGTGAGAAACACGGAGTGCTTTCATATGGCTATGGGTCTTAAACTCAGTGGTAAAGTAGAGTAAGATTGACAAAGGGCATCGTTTCATGCAGGTATGAGTGTGATGGAGACAAAGGAAAAAGCAGGCTATTGAGTTAGGTGGACACGGCTAGTTGTTTTATTTTTTTCCAGCTTTAGTGAGGTGTGATTGATAAATATAAGTATACATTTAAGGTATACAACATGATGATTTGATGTATGTACACATTGTGAAATGATCACCACAATCAAGCTAATTAACACACCCACTTCTTCACACAGGTACTTGTGTGTGTGTGTGTGTGTGTGTGTGTGGTTGAGAACATGTAGGCTCTACTTTCTTAGAAGACTTCAAGTACACAACACAGTATTGTAAACTCTGGTCACCATTCTGTGACTTAATCATCTTGTAACTGGATGTCTGTGCCCTTTGACCAGCATGTCCTCATCTCTCCCTCCCCCCAGCCTCTGGCAACCACTGTGCTACTCTGTTCCTATGTTTCCACAGATAAGTTTGATGATGACCTATTTGTCTTTCTGTGTCTGGCTTATTTTATTTAGCATAATGTCCTCTAAGTTAATCTATGATGTCATCAATGGCAGAATTTCCTTTTCTATATGGCTGAATATATTTCATTGTATTTATATTCAATCGTTTATCCATTTATCCAATGGTGGATGCTCACGTTGATTCCATGTCTTTGCTCTTGTGAATAATGATGCAGTGAAGATGGGGTGTAGATTTCCCTTCGAGGAACTGATTTTATTTTGTTGGGTATATACTCAGAAGTGGGATTGCTGGATCATATGGTAATTCTATTTTTAAAAAGCGTTTTATTTAGTTTGAGAAAGACAGCATGAGCTGGGGGGGGGGGGTAGTGGAAAGAGAGGGAGAGAGAGAATCCCAAGCAGTTATTGTGCTGTCAGTGCAGAGCCCAATGCGGGGCTTGATCTCACCAACCATGAGATCATTACCTGAGCCAAAATCAAGAGTCGGACACTTACCTGATTGAGGCACCCAGGCGCCCCAGTAGCTCTACTTTTAATAAATGGGACAAGCACAGATTTTGGCGCACAGCCAACATCACTTGTTGATTGATTGACTGTATTTATATGTGGGGCTGTGTGGCCAGAGAAGGGCGATGAGGGAAAGGGGAGAACACAGTGTGGTTTTAGGTTCTGT